ACAGGGCAGTTGCACACAGGAAACCACAGTGCTTGTGACAGCATACACAAGACCTGCCTGTACAAGTCCACGCCAGACAAAAACTTGGCATGGATGGACAGAGGTGGCCAAAAAAACCCATCCCTAACTGAGGACCTACTGCCAATTGATAGCTTTTGGGAGAAGGTGACTCGGTTTTCTTTAAGGATATGATATAAGGTAGGTTAACCAGGGTTCCAGGTAATCCATGCCCATTTTCCTTGCTTCCAGGGTGTCCTCCTTCCATGATCGAATGCTTGGTGTGGGACTGCAGTCTGCATATAAGACTTGCTAGGGTTATACTCCATAGAGAAAAGACCTCATGCCCAAAGTGTACAATTTAAAATGAATAAGCAATGAGGTTTATTATCCTAATATTCGAAAAACAATCTAAAAATGCAAAAACGATAAAAATATATAACAAAGGAGAACCTGGATTACAGGTGGGTGATCCACCTCTGCTCTACAGATGATACTGACTAGAACATAGGTCATTCTCAAATGTTCTAACAAGTTAAGCTCAGGTAGAGGTGAAATGTGGTCTGCATTTTCTAAGTTGTCACTAGCAGGTAGAAATGCCTGTCCAGGAGCTGGAGCACCTACCTTCATATCTGGAGGTGTCTCTGTATGGGCTGATGTGGGCAGATCCTCCTCTAATGCAGCAGTCAGGAGATGTGGAAGCTCGGGGGCAGACACACTATGTTCCATGATCTCAGGTACCACAGCACCCTCTAGGGGCTCCAGCTCCCCCTGAAGGTTTGATGAAGAACTTGGTCTAGGACCCAGAGTCTCTGGCATTCCTGAGACTACTGCCCAGGAGGGCCCTGGCTCTAAGGACAGGAAGAGGTGGATAGTCAGTGGAAGGGTCTTTTAAGGGAATACATGGGAGATTTGACATGGAATGAGCTTCCTCAAGATGAGTGTCTTTTTCTGAGACTTCCAAAATGCGTGCAAAACCTCTTCCTGAAATAGAATTCTCAGTCCCTGTCCCTACAACAGGACATCCTACCTGACTGGATCCCAACTCTGGTTACAGACCAAAGGCCAGCTTATGGCCCCTCCCTGGTGTAATCTGGCACTGCACCCTCCCTTCCCACCCTCTCAGACACCTACCACAGGCCTCCTCAGCTTTGAGTGCTGCCTTCTTGGACTCCTGCGCCTCCTTTTTTGACAAGAGCTCCTCTACAAGAATGACCAGGTATGAAGAAGGCATGTTGAGATTCACGTAGTCCATCAACTCTTTTAGTCTGTCCAGGTCCAGATTCTCACACAAATCCTCTGGATATTTCTCAATCCACAGTGCCAGGAAGTACATTATTGCACTAAGGCAGGTGGACAAGGAATACAGAGAAGCCTGCCCACTCTGCCTGTGCTGCAAAGGTTCCATGCAGACAAGGCAGAGGCTGTTCAGTCTGTGTACCGTTGGGCATGGTGGAAAGTACTTTGGAGTCATGTGTAGAGGGGTTCTAACACTTTCTGTCCAGTCCAATGGAGGGCAGTCTGGACAAAAAGCTTGGCTGTAGTGGGGATGGATTCCCACAGGGACGGGCTTTTAGCTTCCATCCTCCCCACTACTCCTCAGAGCCCAGGAGGCCACTCAAGATCTTTGTTATTTCCCCCATCTCGGTCAGTTCCTAGGCTTTGTCCCTCCAGTGGAAATCCCAATAGAAGGGTCCCTGGCAATAGCCTAACCCCCAACACGAGCCCCCAGATACTCCAGTCTTCAGATGGGAGCTTATCTCCCTATTCACCCAAAGCCCACTCACTTCTTTTCCATTCTGTCATCCTCCCTGTCCAACTGGAAGGGTCCATACTGTGTCAATACAGAAGGATGTCACCCTTAAGGCCCTATGTCCCCACCTTCCAGGAGCTATAGAGGGGCTGAGTTAGGCATAGAAGCTATGGCTGGGCTGGGAATGTTAGTCTGCACTGCTCTCTGAGATCTCAGCCGAGGGACTGGGAAGGAGCCTGCTGTCACAGATGATCCAGAGATCTTCATGTAATGACTGAACCCAAACTGCTCCCTTCCAGATTTTTCAGTTGGTACAGGGCTTCCTGGTATGCCCCTGGGTCACTACAGTTATCCCCTGTGCCCTAGACGGGGTATGAAACCTTCTTTACAAGATAAGAGCAGAGCCCTCCTACAACCCAACTGGGAGGCCTGAGCTCTCCTGCGTTTGGACATGGTCACTCACCTCTTCATTACCAAGTCCAGCACCTGCCAGGTGGTGGCATGCCTTCAGTGCATGATAAGGAAGGTAGAGACAAAGAGATGATCCCCATTCTGCACAGCGGTTGCCGTGTAGTTTACCAGCTTTTTCACTTTGCCTGCACTCTGCAGCCTTAACTGCTCACAGGAGCCCAGCAATGGCTGAGTTCAGAATGACTTTGGTAGTTCTGAGCTAGTGTTAGGAGGGCATCTAAAAGAATATACTCCCATGTACCATTTTTTTTCATAAAAAATCTATATATTTAAGAGGTACATGATTGGACTGGAGAGATGGCTCAGCACACACACACACACACACACACACACACACACACACCTAAATAAAAACATTTTAAAATCTTTTTTTTAAAGTTTCCAAATCAGTTGGAACGGCATCTAGGAATGTGCTGCTAGTTTGTATGTTAAGACTATGTTTAGCTTTCTAAGAACTAACTTCCAAGGCAATGGCAGCATTTAAAATTCCCACTGGAGATGAAGGGCCTTTGGCATTCCGCATCCCTTTAAGCCCCGAGGGCTACAAGTGGAAGTGATTGGTCCCCGGTGGACTTCTCTCTACTCTGCAGGCTGTGTGTCTTGGTTTCATTTTAGACTGACACGTGTCAGTCCTCTGACTTTGACCTTCTTGAACCTTGTGCTGTCTGTCCTGTGGTGTTTGCCTTTTTGGCATAAATTTCAGAATCAGTTTGTCAATAATTTTCTAATAGCTTGCTGGGGCTTTGACAGGGGTTATCCACAGATGAAATAACAAACTGACACCTTAACAACAGAGAATCTTTCAATACACTAACATGGAATATCTATTTATTTCAAATTTTTTATTTCTTATACCAGCTTTATAGTTTTCCACACATAAATTTTATGCATTTTGTTGCATATATGTAAATATTTCATGTGGAGGACAGTATGATAAGTATTTTTGTATTCAAAATTCTAAATGTTCACTTTTGTTACATAGGAAAAGCAATTCACTTTTACATAGCACCTTGTAACCCTTGACAATGATAGCACCACTTATTAGCTAAGGAGGGTATTCTGTGTATTTTTTCTGATTTTCTGAATAGACAATCATATCATCAAAGAGCAAAGAGATTTTTATTTCTTCCTTCCAAAAATGTGTATTTTATGTTTCCTTTTCTTGTCCTGTTGCTCTGTGAAGGACTTCCAGTACAATGCTGTATGTGGATGGTGAGAAGAGACTTGATTTCTGTTCCAGTCTGTTTCCTGTTGCTGCGATAAAACACTCTGACCAAAAGCAACTTGGGGAAGCAAGGGTTTCTTACACTTCCAAGTGACAGTTCATCGCTGAGGGCAGGAAGGCACTCAAGGCAGAAATCCGGAGGTGGGCACTGAAGCAGAGACTGTGGAGGAGCGCTGCTCACTGGCTCACTCCCCTGGCTTGCTCAGCTACCTTTCTTATACAGCCCAGGCCCACCTGCCTAGGGCTGACACTGCCCACAGTGGGCTGGACCCTCCTCCATCAATTAACAATGAAGAAAATGCCTCGCATTTTGCGGAGCAGATTCCTCAGTTGAGGCTCCCTCTTCCCAGGTGACTCTAGTTTGTGTCAAGTTGACAGAAACTAGCCAGCACAGTTCCCAAACTTGGGGGGGACATACAGTTTCTCACTATTAGGTATGATGCTGGTTGTAGGGTTTTGTCCACATCCCTTACCAAGCTGAGGAAGTTTCCCTCTGCCCCTACTTTGCTGGAAATTTTTAGATATTTTTATTGATTCAAGAATTTCATGCAGATTATTCTGTTCATAGTCAGACACCCTCTTCCAACCACCCCACCTTACCACCCCTCCAACTTCATGCCCTCTATTTTTTTTAAGGTATATTGAGTCTAATCTGTGTTTCATAAATAGTCTTGTGTGTAGGTCTACCCCTGGGAGTCTGGTCAACCTACCAGGCATCACACCAGTAAGGAAAACTGTCTCTCCCTCTCCCTTTGCTGGGAATTTTTATCACACAGAGATTATCCACCAGCTCCATCAGGGTCTGTCTCAGCTGTGGCCACCCTGTGAGGGACAGCTCACATTTGGAGAGTTTACAGAAGTATGATATAAAGGCCCAGAAATCTCAGCCCAATCGAGATCAACGCAGATGGATTGGATGTTCAGAGGTCCCCACGGACTCAGCCAAGTCTTTGCCAGGCCTGAATCACAGTTCAACTTCTCTTCTCCCCAATAACTTGTTTCCTCCTCCTCATTGGCAGAAACAGATTTATTTTTTTCTTTTTTCTTTTTTCCTTTGGTCTTATTGAGACAGGATGGAACTCACTATGTTGTCCAGGCTGGTCTTGAGCTCACACCCATCTGCCTGCCTCTGCTTCCCAAGTGCTGGGACAAAAGGCATGCAGCACCACGCCTGGCTTTTTAAAAATATTTTATTTATTATTTTTATTTGATGTGTATGAGTGCATTGCCTGCATGTGTGTGAGTGCACCCGTGTCATGCAATGCCCACAGAGGACAGAGGAGGGCGTCAGATCCCCTGGAACTGGAGTTACAGACAGTCACTAGCTGCTCCATGGGTGCTGAGAATGGAATACAGGTCCTGTGCAAGAGCAGCCAGTGCTCTTAACGCTGAGTCATCACTCCAGCCCCCTGGGAACAGACTTCTAATAAACATCCTGCACACAAAGCTGCGAGGCTCCCCAGGTTCAAGCACTCGAACTGTGGCTGTCCTCACAGAGGACACTTGTTTTCCACAGCACTTCACAGGCGGTGGTAGATTCCTTTTTCCCTGCCAGGTCATCACCTGCCAACTTAGTGGGAGTAGAGCAGGACAATAGGAAAGAGTCCTTCACCATTTGGTCATCCCGATCAAAGGGCTCTGTTTTGAAGCTTAGGTGTAAGGTCTACGTGTGTTTGCCGGGATCCCTCGGTGAGACGCATCCAAGGCTCTTTGTCCACACTGCAGGGTAATGCAGCCACACTCACTGGCTTTGACTCTGGAATGGCCTGGCTTCTGTTCCCAGACAAAGGAGGAATCCGAGTGGGCCAGTGCTACAAGCAGAAAGCCTCTTCCAAAAGCAGCTCCACCACAGTAACTACCAAAGAGAGACCAACAAGTTCAATGGAATGAAAGAAGAACTGCAAGTTGGAATCAGTCACAGGGTTGCCATTAAAGGCCCGAGCTCAGGGTCAGGTGATGCAGAGTGCTACCAACTAGAGCATTATATGTAAGAGAAGATTTTCAAGGGGCAGTAGAGATGGCTCAGTGAGTGAAAGTGCTTACCATGCAAGCCCGAAGACCTGAGCTCAAGTCCCAAGAGCCACATTAAAAAAAAAATAACAAGAAAAACCCTAGTGCTGTGTGTTACACATCTGTAATCCTAGCACTGTCAGGCAAAGTGGGGAGTGGGAGGTGGGAGATAGAAGTGGGGAGCCAGAGGGCCGATTTGGAGTGAAAATTACAGTGGCAGAAACAAAAAGAGAGGTCGTGTCTCAAGCAGGTAAAGGGCGCACCAGCTCCTGGACGCTGTCCTTTGATTTGCAAACATGTACATGGACTGTGGCACACACAAGCACACAAAGCTAATGTTTGTGAACCTGAAAAAGTTGATGTGCAATAAGTAATTCCTGAAGGGATTACTGAACACTAATCTGGAGTCAGGCGTTCTGGATGTTGATCTCAGTTTTTGAACACCATTTATGACTGAGGGCCCCTATCAGACTGTGAGATGGGTATTTCTCTGTGTTCTCAGCTTCTAAGCAATCCACACATTGTCACTTTAGAGCCTGAACTCCATAGAGCTGGTTTACATCTATAGATGGCTCACTATTTCATAGCAACATTGCTGGACAACCAACATTTCAGTTTTAACAGCATCCCATCTTTGAAGGCTGTGCAATATTTTTCCAATTATATGAATGTTACTGTGTTCTTATAGTTGCAGAATTGAGTGGAGAAATAAAAACACCAAATATGCTGATACCCATGATAAGACACATAGATCTCATTAACTCAATACAATTGAGACAAAGATAGAAATCGTTAGGCCTGTGGAAAGTGATAAGTCATTAGCCTCAATCAGATGCTCATTGACTGCAAGCTGGTCAACCTTGTGCTCTGCTATTAAGGGAAAGAACAAAATGAAAAGAACATGTCTGAAATGTATAAATCATCGTGGATGATGCCTGAAAGGCAAGGTGTAATTAGGGATGCTGGAACACGTTCCATCTCTCTGCTAACAGAACCCACATATAATCTTGTTGAAGTTTTAGATGTTTGACTTCTGCACAAATTCTATGTACAAAATCTGGGGACTGTTTCGATGAACACATAACCTTACATTCTGTACAGAGTTGCTGTATATTTTAGGGAAAAAATCTGTGATTGCAAGGCTGAGGTGTTTTTATCATATTTAGAGAACTATTTTTGGACAGAGATACATATTGGCAGTTTTGCTGGCATAAAGCCAAGGATTAAAAAAATAGGAACAATGGCCAGTGGGA